CTCAGGGAGTTTGTCACCTGTACAGCAGCATGCACTGATTGCACCTGATTTTCAATCATCAAAAATCACTGCTTTTTTTTTTTTTTCCTTGCTTTAAAAAGGCAAAGGACCCCTAAAAGAGTACTACAATGGGCTGATAAAGAAACTGCACTTCAAACATATCCAGATCTGTACACCGTGGCTGGAACCTGAGGATTACCCAGTTTTACTTGGTAAACAGTGAATTATGATATAGATTTGATGTGATGAAGTATGGAAGAACAAGTCAGCAGAGTCATAGTACCTGTGTTGCTATTACTGCCTGTTATTATTTTTCCCCATTTTTCTAACTGTGCTGGAATACAGTGTGTGTGTTCATGTTCCAGTTCACTCTCTTAAGCAGGTCAGAAAAGACACCTCGGTTTTTGACTGAGCACCCAAAAGAAGCTGAAATTCTAAATAATGATGTTTTTGGAATGGTGTTCCCTTCACTCATGCTATTGCAGGCAGTGTGATAAGCTCAGTGCAGTAGTCATAAAATCGTAGAATGGTTTGTGCTGAAAAGGACCACAGTTATGCAGCTCCATCCCCCTGCTGTGTGCAGGTCACCAACCAGCAGCCCAGGCTGCCCAGAGCCACATCCAGCCTGGCCTCGAATGCCTGCAGGGATGGGGCATCCACAGCCTCCTTGGGCAACCTGTGCCAGTGCCTCACCACCCTCTGGGTGAAAAACTTCCTCCTCATATCCAACCTAAACCTCCCCTGTCTCAGTTTAAAACCGTTCCTCCTTGTCCTGTCACCATCCACCCTCACAAACAGCCGTTCACTCTCCTGTTTTTATGCTCCCTTCAAGTACTGGAAGGCCACAATGAAGTCTCCCTGGAGCTTTACCCCTTTCCAAGCTAAACAAGCCCAGTTCCCTCAACCTTTCTCACAGGAGAGCAGCTCCAGCCCTGTGACCATCCCAGCGCCCTCCTCTGGACCCACTCAGAGCCCAGCTCCCTCAGCCTGTCTTTGCAGTGGAGGTGCTGCAGCTCCTGATCATCTCTGTGGCTCCCCTGCACCCTCTCCAACAGCTCCCTGTCCTGCTTGGCCTGGGGGCTCCAGCCCTGGACGCAGTGCTGCAGATGGGGCCTCACAAGAGCAGAGCAGAGAGGGACGCTCACCTCCCTGTCCCTGCTGCCCCCCCTTTTTCATGCAGCCCAGAACACAGCTGGCCTTCCGGGCTGCAGGCGCTCACTGCTGCCTCATGTCCAGCTCCTCATCCACCAGGACCCCCAGGTTCTCCTCCTCAGGGCTGCTCTCAAGGAGATCTTCCCCCAGTCTGTATCAGTACCTGGGGTTGCCCCAACCCAGTGCAGCACCCTGTATACATGTACATATCCAATTTGATCTTGGGTTTCAGATCAATATCTCTTGCTCATATTCAGCTCACATCACTTCAAAAAAAAGCCCCACGTACATATGAGTATGCAGTAAGAGCAGAAGAGCTGCTTCAGAGAATTCAAGGCCTTGTCTGCTTTGTTTGCTTTTTAGGGTCAGCAGACTTGGGTGTGTGTCTCCATAAGTCATCTAGTGGATTGGATTTGCCTATGAAGGTGGTAGACATGTTTGGCTGTTGCTTACCTGTGTGTGCAATATATTTTGAATGGTAAGAGTTTGCTTATTCTGCTACCAGGATTTAAAGGATCATATAAGCACTATTCTTACAAAGAGTTCAGCAGCTTCTGCACGTATCAGTGAGATTCCAGTATTGTGCTTTAACAACTTCTGGTTATGATTCAAAAGGACAAACTTTAAATGTCAAAATCATTTTATTTAAGGGCAGCTAAAAATTAACGTCAGTTTCTACAAACTGTGGAACATTTAATGCAACCACTTGCCTTGGAAATGAATAACCATCATCCTGTGTTGCTGTGTACTTCATTTAAAAGACAATCAAAGCTTCATTCTGTGTAGATAGGTGTGTGTTGTGTGAAGAGGGGAATATATGCAGTAGTGCACAGTCCTTTGGGGGGAAAATGCAGTTCTGACAGATAAATAGGTATTAATTGCAAGTATCACAGGTACTGAGCATGGGCAGATCTTCCTTATGGATTAAAGTTGATTATTGCCTCATTTTGACATGTGCAGATGGGTGGCACAGTGACTGAGGGCCCTTCTGTACTGTGCTGCAAGACAAGTTTAATGCAATCTCCAGTAGCTGCCTCTGGTTCCATGTTGTCAGGAGTTCAACCCCCTCCTGTGCTCTTCGTAGCAAAGATGCACAGTGCAACTTCTGCAATGTATGTCCCACTCACTTCTTTTTCTTCTATTTTCTTTCTCTGACTTTTGTTCACAGTTTACCTGAACTTGTGAAACACAATGAAAACGGGCTGATATTCAGGGATTCAGATGAGCTTGCAGAACAGCTGAAGGTAAAGACATGAGAGATGATTCTTTCCTACTAGCTCTGACCTCAGAAGTGTTGCTGCGTGAGCCACGTCACTCTTGTGGGACAATCTGTGTATTTTGCATTCTAAGAGGGCACTGCTTTGCCTGCTGGGTCTTATTGGCCACATTTCTATTTGAGTAAAAATCTGAATCTGTCAAGAACATACTAAATATTTCAATATTGAACCGTGTGGAGGATAAGACCAAAGGTCTCTTTCTTACTGCAACACTGATGTCAAGGGTTAGCATTGGGAAAGGCTAAAATTAATCCACAATGGAATGCAGTGGTATTTTTCTGTTATTTTTTTAACTTACAGATGCTTTTCTTGGAATTTCCCTCGCTGGAAGGCAAACTCCATGAGTTCAGGGAAAACCTTCGTGCATCCAAGCAGCTGAGCTGGGATGAGAGTTGGGACCAGACTGTTCTTCCTTTACTTACCCAGACTGAATGACTTTTTGGGGGATGCTGTGTCAAAAAAGCTACCACACGTATGCACCCCCAGGACTGCCTTAAGTGCTGAATAAACACTTGGTCTTGTTTCCAACTGTAATTTTCAGCTGATCAGACACAGCTCTTCCCTGACCACTGGAGCTTCTTGTGTGGGTAATAACAGTGCAGAAGGTGCAGCTGAGGTTCCTTGTTGTGTGTAAGCCTTTAGGGAAGGTGAGGGTCCTGTGCTGAAGGGGCTGATCCTTGCCATCTGCCTGCCTGTGTGACTGGGGATGGATCTCTAGAGCATGGGAAGCGTAGTGACTTGAGGAACTCAGGTGTCAATTCTGTTTAATGGGGCTGCCTGGAGGCTTCTTGTGGCTGAAGGTGTTTGAATACATGTATAAACTGCACCAGTTTTGCCTCCTGTACAAGAAACACATTCCTGGTGATTTTATTCTGCAAGTGGGAAACTTCTATTTAATTTGAGGTTTTGTTTGGAATGATGGTACAGCATTTTTCTCTTTTTTCCTATGGTTGACATTCCTGGCTAGTCTTCCCTAGCCATGTACAGAATATCTGCTTGTATTTTTTTACATTGAGACAGAACTACTTAATTTCAGAGGGTTTTTTCCTCTTTTTTTTAATAGTGTATGCAAGATACAGCATCCCAGCTGCTGGTATGGGACAGCTGTATTCAACACAGCTTTATTCAACAGAGGAAAATACACCTTTCAGTGACTGCTGTGCCCACATACTGAAGTAAAGGTGCCCCTGTCCCTCAAGAAAGGAATGCATCTTATGTGTTATTTCAATAGAACAGAAAAGAGATTAAAGTATGAGGGATGTGATGACAGTGCACTTCACTTTCGGAGCAGTCACCCTGGTGTAGCCTTCATGGTTTTTTTTCCCCCCCTTGTTCACATTCTCATGCAGACCCAGTGCTTACAGGATGCTTTCTCAAAACCACCTTTTCAAAACAAGGCAGCTGTTTAAGGAATAAACGTGCTTGGTTTTAGCATAGAGCTGCAGCCTGCTTGGCTCTCTTCAGAGCTCCTGGTTCAGCAGTGCTGTGTTGTTGCAATGGATTCTGCAGCAGTGTTTCTAAACCAGCTTACAGAGTTTAATATCATGTCATACCTGCTTTTGCCAAGCCAGGCAGTCATTTGCAAACATGACTTTTCTCTTCCACAATGGTAGACAGACTTGCAAGGAGTGATTTAGTTCCACTGGGGGAAGTGGAACTTCCTTTTGGGGACCAAAAGTTACTTCCTGTAAGGGTTTGGCAGCTTGACCAGCTCAAATGATCCATAGAGATTTATCTGTGATTGTTTTGCTCTACTGTTTTCCAGCAAATTCCTGTCCCTGTCACAGCAGTCCCCTTTAGCCAGTGATGCACATGGAGGTAAACTAAGCATTTCTCTGTCGTACAGAGTGATGCTGATGAAAGCTTGAGGTTTGTCTCCCTGTAATAAATTTGGTTAGATCCAATATGAGCCATCTTAGAACTTACAGAACTTAGTGACACGAGGGCTTTTGTAGCAGGAAAGATAAAAGAAGCTGCTGCTTCTAGTGCAGCAAGGCTTCATGAGGGCTTCTGGTGTGCATTAACTCCAATTCTTCCTTCTCAGGGAGAAGCAGCTAAAATAAAAATAAAGTCTGGTCAGGTTGCTTCTAGATATCCAGCTTAATTCCAGCAGTCGTGGGCTTCTTCAGCTCGAATGTTTCTTCAATTACCTGTCATTCGTCTTCTCTCAATTACTGCAGAAGGAGGAACTGAATGTATTTCTTCATTTCCTTAAAGTAGCTTCTAAAACAACATCTAGAAATGCAGGTTAATGGAGGAGAAAATAACCTATTCAGTTCTGCTTCAGGATTAACACTGCCCAGTGGCAAACTGGCAATGGATTATGTGAACTTTCAAAGCAGGTAAGCTAAATTCTTCATCTTGCAAAAGGGACAGGGAAATGGGTGAGAGGAATGCAAATCGAGCTGTGATTTTTGTCAGCAGTGCAGAGCAGAGGTGTTCCTGCAGCATCAAGTGATCCTGTGACACTGCACAGCCTGCAGGCATTACTCATGTTGTTCTGGGGTGGCACACGTTGCCATTTTGCAAATATGCAGACCTACAAAAAAAGATGACATCAATTACAGCTGGTTTTAGTATTAAAAACGTTTATTACAAAACACTGCTCTGCTCCTTGGCCAGTATGAGACGCAACCTGCAGGAGCACGGGGCGAGTCTGTGTCGTTTACAAATCAAAACTGCATTTGAATAATTGAATTCAGCTCTACAGAATCAAAGTGCATCACAATCAGGGTGCTTTTCTGTACAGCTTGTGCTGCACAGATGCTTCTAAGGCGCAGCTGCTCGCATGCATGCTGGCAACTGCAGGAAGAAACATCGCTCATGTTGACAGCAGCTGGTGCTTCTGAGGTACGTGCAGAAGGGTGTCCTTGGTGCATGCCTCTCACAGGCTTCCAGAATGTAAGACAGTCTTGGAGCAAGGATAAGATAGCTCCTGCTGCTCTGAAATCCCGTGCTGTATTTACCAAATCTATACCAATAGCTGCAGGACAGTCACGTTGGGCTGGGTGTCATGGAGAAAAATATTACTGCTGTGGGCTGGGATAATCTGCCATCTGATCCCAGCTTTATCTGCAAAGGGAAACGTTGGAATCATCTTTCTGCTTAATGAAATAGAGAGTAGAAGTTGCAGGTCCAGTTCTGTACAGAGAGATCTGTGCGTGCTGCAAGGAATGCAGCAGTGTTATTTTGTTAATCAGAGCACTGCTGTGGTCCAGCTGTACTGCTGGAAGGCTGCAGAAGACAGGCCTTTGAAGTCCTGCATCCCTTGCCTTTACTTAAATCTCTCTTCTTAACCCTCAAAGAACAGCTACAAGTTGCAGGCCACGTCTAAACCTTTTCACAGTTGCAGTGTAGGTTTTTTCCTGTTCTAGGCTTAACCCTTATGATCTTTCCTATTAGCAGCAAACTTGTGACATGTCTCAAATTGATGCTGTAACAACTGAGAGTGGTGACAGGATGCAGCAAAAGGCTGAGATGTCTGAATTTCCTGAGCAAACCCATGCAGGAGGGTCACTGCTCTCAGGCAGAACTCCCCTGAATCCAAGGATCCCATTACTGGACAACACCCATAGCAAAAAGGAAACGTTCCTGTTCATCTCCACTGCAGATTAAGTAACTGGGAGAGGCCAAATCTATTGATACAGTGAATGAAAAAGGCACCCACCGAGTTCAGCCTGGAACACGTGGTAAGTGTCTGCGTTACGGACCGTCAGAGCAACATAGATCTCAGGTTTTCTATCTGCTCTTGAAGTGGAGAACTTCCGTAGCACGCCAATAAGGGCTAAGGTTACCTCTGGATCATACACCACATCTGCATGGGGAAGAAAGGGAAATACTCAGTATTTATTAGGAACTGAGCAGAAAGCAAGCTGCAGAATATAAAAGATCAAATGTTCACCTGAAGGAGGAAGGATAAGTACTTCTAACTGAGAGATCAGAAACTTCCAGGAAGAGATTTTAGAAGATGCACTGTTTTCTATGATGAGCAAATTCAAGAAAACAGCTGCTTTCAATGTTATCCCTCATGAGAATGCTGAGGTTCCTATTTAAAATTATGAGGGTCTTAAAAGTGGCAGATTTATCATCTGTTTCTGGATTGATAAAAATACAGAAAGAAAAAACAATTTGCTGTTCAGTGTTAGGTAAACAGCTGCTGAATAGGTGAAACAAGACAACATGGTGCAAGGAGCTGGGAGGCATTTCTCCAGGTCCTGTAACTGAGGTTGTCTGAGCCCTGTACACAAATCATCACAGAATCACAGAATGCCCTGGGTTGCAAAGGAGCACAGTGCTCACCCAGCTCCAACCCCTGCTGTGTGCAGGTCGCCAACCAGCAGCCCAGGCTGCCCAGAGCCACATCCAGCCTGGCCTTGGAATGCCTGCAGGGATGGGGCATCACAGCCTCCTTGGGCAACCTGTGCCAGTGCCTCACCACCCTCTGGGGGAACAACTTCCTCCTCATATCCAACCTCAACCTCCCCTGTTTCAGTTTCAAACCATTCCCCTTGTCCCACCACTGTCCACCCTCACAAACAGCCGTTCCCCCTCCTGTTTTTATGCTCCCTTCAAGTACTGGAAGGCCACAACCAGGTTTCCCCAGAGCCTTCTCTTCTCCAAGCCACACCAACACAAATATCTTTGTGTTTATTTCTGTTACCTGCTTTTTCCTGCATGATACTGCAAAGCCAGGCATAACCAGAAGGAAGAGGTACCTGCTGCAATGACGACATCTGCGTGCAGAGCCAGCAGTTGCTGTTCTGTTACTGAACGCCAGTCGAGCTCTGCAACAAGGAGTTTGGGCTGCTGACATTCCTGCCCTTCTGCCTCCTGCCCTTGGGCTGGATTCGTAGTTTCAGGCTCCAGGGTGAAGCCATTCAAACGGATGTTTTCTGTCAGCTGTTTGAGGACGGCGTGGTGGCAGTCGCTGAACACGTACGTCTTGGGATTGCAGGTTTTGCAGATCACAAGTCCAGTGAAGCCGACCCCACTTCCTAATTCCAAGACTGTCCTAAAGGTTAATGGTGTAAAATAAGTATTGATGAGGACTCTGTCATTTAGTTGTAGTGTAATCAGAATATTCCAAGTGTATCTAAAGATAAATTCAGCTACAGATTATCTCAATTTTTGAGCAAATCCTCTACGATCTAACGTGTGTTTCAAGTAACTGGTGAAGTTGGCAACAAGATACAGTTATAAGAATTAATCACTGGAATTATTAATTCCACCACGGGGGTGAGAATCATTCCACCTATTTCTGGACTTCTGGAGCAGTTTTCTGTATCTGAACTGGCTGTCCACTTCTTTTCTTAGTGCAGAGAAGCAGATGTTTCTAAAGCACAGTTCTTTTCTTCGTGAGGTACTTGAAATGAATATAGCTGAAGCCGTGCCCAGAAGTGCCCATTCCTTTCCAGTGTTTAAATACAAAGCAAGTTTCAGTATCAACGGGAGGGCTATAAGAAAGAAAGGGACAGATTCTTTAGCAGGATCTGTTGTGGTAGGACAAAGGGAAATGGTTTAATACTAAAAGAGGGGACAGTTAGACTGGATATCAGAAAAAGAACTTATTTAACATTGCAGAGGTGGGGCTCTGGCAGAGGTTGCTGTATATGCCACATCCCTGGATCACCTGGAGCCATCCATGGGGCCCTGGGCAGCCTGAGCTGTGGCTGACAGCCCACACCATGGGCTGAGGATGGAGGGCTGTAAGGCTCCTTCCGGCCCAACCGTGCTGGGATTCTGTTGTAAGTTACTGGTTAGACAGCATGCGAGCTGAAATTCAACAGCCTACAGCACAGATTAAATAGGTGCTATAATGGTTTTCATCTTAAGGCAAGTCATCTCTTGAACTGCTGCAGGATAGGAGGAAAGCAGTTGTTATCTGGCACCAAATCCCAGTTCTGACTGTGATGCTGTTGTTACCTGTTAGTGAAAACCTTGGGGTTCTCCATTGCCCACTCAGCGAGATGCAGAGCAGCATCCCATGTGATGAGCCCTGTGGTTCCCTGCGAGATAATGGCCACACTCTCAGAAAGGGTCACGGCTTCTCCTGAGGGCTGGAGGTCACACGTGGGGGAGAGAGATGTCAGCACAGGAACCGTGCTGCAGCTCACAGCAGTACTGCAGCCTGGAAAAGAGGGCTGGAAGCACTCTGGGTTTTTGGAGGTGTTGAACACTTTGACTCATAGAATCACACACAATCACAGAATGGCCTGGGTTGGAAGGGACTTCAAGGATCACAAATCTTCAACTCACCACCACACGCAGGGCCACCAAACTCCCCATTTAATACCAGCCCAGGCTGCCCAGGGCCCCATCCAACCTGACCCTGAACACCTCCAGGGATGGACGGGGCATCCACAGCCTCTCTGGGCAGCTGTTGCAGCACCTCACCACTCTCACAGCAAAGAACTTCCCCTGACATCCAACCTCAATCTGCCCTCCCTCAGCTTCAAACCATTTCCCCTTGTCCTGCTGTTATCCACCCTTTTCAGGAGTTGACTCCCCTCCTGTCTGTAGGCTCCCTTTAGGTACTGCAGGCTGCACTGAGGTCACCCCCAGCCTTCTTTGCTCCAGGCTGAACAAGCCCAGCTCCCTCAGCCTGTCTTTGCAGTGGAGGTGCTGCAGCCCCTGATCATCTCTGTGGCTCCCCTGCACCCTCTCCAACAGCTCCCTGTCCTGCTTGGCCTGGGGGCTCCAGCCCTGGACGCAGTGCTGCAGATGGGGCCTCACAAGAGCAGAGCAGAGAGGGACGCTCACCTCCCTGTCCCTGCTGCCCACCCCTCTGCTGATGCAGCCCACGATCCCGTTTGCTTTCCCAGCTGTCATCACACACTGCTGCCTCACGTTCGGCTTTTCAGCCATCAGGACCCCCAGCTCCTTCTCTGCAGGGCTGCCCTCCACCACTGCTCCCCCTACTCCGTATCCATGCCCGGCATTCCTCCAGCGCAGACTTTCAGAGGTCACCCGGTCCAACTCCCCTGCACTGATCAGGTGCTTACTTTAGATGATTAAAAGTGATTTGTAATGAAGCAGTATCGTTGGTGTTTACCAGTAAGTAGCTTTTGTAGCAGCGAGTGGATTCTTCCTCATTTAAGATAGGTGCCAACGCATCATACAGCTCATCCAGGGGGTCGGCCGCCGTGGATTCGTGCTGTGAAAAGAGAACAGAGTTTCAAACCGTGGCCCACAGCACAAAACACACGCTAAATACCCAATTAACGAGATGAAGCACGGAGGTGCGCGCAGTCCCGAGAGCAGCGCTACCTTCTTAATGAGCTCGGTGAGGAAACGGCGTCTGTAGGAGGCGGGCGGGGGAAACCGCACACAGAGCGGGTGGAGAACGGTCTGAAACGAGAGAGCTGCCATTGAGCCGCGGAGGGTCTGTGAAATGCCGATGGCTCCATGCTGTACTCGAAGGCACCCGGCTGTATTTTCCTTGGTGTGCGCGGTCCTTTGTGCCGTACCTGGTGCAGGATGTCTGAGAGCAGGGAGGACTGGGAGCGCTGCGGGGCGGCCGTCAGCTGCTGCTCCAGTTCCTAAAGCACAACGAGAGCGGAGCTGAAGCGGAGCGGCCGAGCCCCGCAGCCCCCGACCCGGCCCAGCTCACCGCCCAGGGCATGCCGCGGAGCCGCCGCGCCGCCAGGAAGCGCTGCTGGAAGAGCAGCCCAAGCTCCGAACCCGCCATCCGCCCGAGGCCGCCGTGGCCAGGCTCCGCTGCCTGCAAAGGGGAGCGGCGAGAAGGAGCAGCACCGTCGGCCGGAACGGGGACTCGAACCCACGATCCTGACACTCCCCGCGCCTGTGGCTGCGGCCCCAACCACGCGGAGCTCCACTTCCGGCGCGGCGCGATGACGTCAGTGTCGCGCGCCGTCGCTAAGGACACGGTGCCCGCTGCGCAGCTCCGCGCCGGGGCGGAGGCCGGGTTGGGGTCGGGTCCAGCAGCGCCATGGGCGGTTACACCGAGGACGAGAAGCTGCGGCTGCAGCAGCTTCGCGCCCTGCGGCGCCGCTGGCTGCGAGACCAGGAGCTGAGCGAGCGGGAACCCGTGCTGCCGGAGCGGCGGCTGGGGCCCATAGCCGCCTTCTGGGAGCGCTTCCTGCAGCCCGGCGGCCTCTGGCGGCAGAAGGTGAGCGGGGCTGGGCGTCCGGCCCAGAGCCCCGGCCCCGAGCCCCGGCCCTGAGTCCCGTTCTGCTGTCCCGCAGGTGTTCAACGCCTACCAGACCAGCGGCTTCGTCTTGGTGCGGGTGCTGATCCCTGCCTGGCTCCTCCACTACTACGTGAAGTACCACGTCTCGGTGTGTGGACCGCGGGGCTGGGGAGACCTCGGCAGTGCCTCAAGGGGGCTTTTGAGCAGGAGCGGGAAGGGGTTTTTGCACGGGCAGATAATGGTGGGACGAGAGGGAATGGCTTTAAATTATAAGAGGGGAAATTTAGGTCGGCTGTCAGGGGGAAATTCTTTGCCCACAGGGCAGTGAGGTGCTGGCACTGCTGGCCAAAGCTGGGGGTGCCCATCCCTGGAGGTGCCAGTGGCTGTGGATGGGCCCTGGGCTGACCTGGGGGAGGGCAGCCTGCCCACAGCACGGAACCAAATGGGCTTCTGACCCAACCGTGCTGTCATTCTGTTATTGTCACTGATCCTGGGAGATGCTGGGACAGCTGGGCTGCAGCTGTTGGTGTGGTAGGGAAGCATGCATTGACCTAATGCTGGGATAAAGCTCCCGTTCCTATGTCTTTTTTGGCTGGTATTTTTTAACGAGTAAGAAGGACCCCGAGTAGTGAGCTTTACATTTAACGGTGCATGTTTTGAAGGGTTGCACTCTCTGCTTTGGGAATTCTTTATCCTCCATCTGGGTGATGTTCTTTTTCTTTCTCGTCCTCTGTGCTTTCAGAAAAAGCCGTATGGTATCTCTGTGTCCAATCCAGCAATATTCCCAGTAAGTCCATTCATACCATCTTCTAGCTTTGTTAAACAGCGGCAGGGGAAGGATGGCTTCAGAAGTGGGGGTTGGTGCAGCAGCTGTGCAGGGAGGATTTCTGGAAGGAGGCACCTGATGTTCACAAGGCAGCTCATCCTGGAGCAGCACAGCACAGTGGGTACAGTGTTTGTTGAGCCCTTAGAGTAGACAGTGCTGATTTCTTTATCACCTTCCTTGTCACTGCAGACTTGTAAGTATTTGGGCTGACAGCCCAGCCCCCTCTGAGCAGCAAACACCATCATCCCCTCCCAGGGCTCTGATAGTGTCTGTAGTGGGTTCTGTTGCTTGAGGGGCACGCAGAGACCACGGGGGGCTCACTGAAGCTTTCTTGTTTGGTTCTCACTTGGAACAGTGGACGGCATCTGTCAGACTGTTTGGTCTGTACAGCTTTGCAGTTGCTAGCTGCTGGCATGGCGAGCTGGCCAGCAAATATTCTCAAATAAAAGTTACACCTCTAACAACCTCATAGCAACGTACTGAAGGTCAGGCTGTGAGATGCTGACTTCAGCCTGATCACTGGAGCTAGGTCAGCTCAGCAGGCCAAGGCAGTGCCTGCAGCTTGAGCGAGCCGAGCTCAGGCATTGGGTTGATTTTGCTGAGGTTGTGGAGCTCTCTGCATTCAGCTGGATTTTGGGTTAGAGACTGCGTGGAGATGAGCAGGAGTGGTGCTGTGTCGGAGGTGGTTTTGCAGAGCTACAAATCCAGTGTACGTTTTTAAAGCAATATCCACTTTAAGTGCTCGGCTGCTTTTCTGTGGCGTCAAAAGGGTGAAGAGTACAGATTTCACAAAATGTGGCTGTGGTTTTATGGCAGCGTCTTGAGAAATGTTGAGGAAATTACACCGTTCAGAATAAATTGAGTTCTTGTTTAGAAGTGGGACAGCGCAGATTTACAGAGTGTGCTGGGTAAAGGAATCGATTGTGTGCAGGAGAAAACCTCACCATGTTCTCTCATCCCACCAGGGGGACAGAATTTTAGAGACGGGAGAAATTGTTCCACCTCTGGCAGACGAACCTGAGCACCACTGACAGCTGAGAGCTGATGTCCTTCAGCAAAGAAGGCAGGAGTTGCAGCCACCTGTGTTCTCTCTTCTATAAAAGAGTCTTTGTTCTGCATCACCTCATCTTTTCTGTCATTTACTTTCTCCTTAGTCCAAACTCTCCCAGTCGATACTTACATGGGAGTTTCCCTTGCTTTCATTGAGATTTATTGCTAAGCCCTGGTGATTTTTTTCCCCCCCTCCTCCCCATCCCTTTTTTTATCTGACTGTCGAGCAGTGTGGGCTTCACAGTAATGGCAGGGACAGTGCAGATCGCTGGGAATTGGGCAATAGTCTGCTCAGAGGAGGGCTGTCATGGCAAGCTCCTGCACACAACAGCTGTCCTCTACCAGACAGCCCAGCAAGCTCTCTTCTGCTGACTTCTAGTATTTACAGTGAAAATTAAGCTTCCGCCTGTGTCATCCCATGTCCCAGCCAACAGAGGGGAGCAGAGACAGCACCATTGCATAGTGGTGCCATCCTCCCCATCCCATGTGAATCGGTGTGATGTGGGTTTAGACACAGAATCCAGCTGGGAAGGAGAGCAGAGGTTCCTGAGTCATCCCAAAAGGTTGGTTGGTTTGTTTGAAGAGAAGTAGGAAAATGAGGTTCTGAAGAGCTAAGCCAAAATTCTTTACTCCTTCACCTTCAACACTTCATTCTGTCTTCAGCCTTTCCTGACTTGGAGTCCTCCTGCCTTCTCTGTCCTCTATTACCTGTGGCATTTTCTACTGAGAAGTACCAGTCTTTAATCTAGTGCTAAATCTGCAGATATTTTGGTGGCTACTTTGGTGATAGAAATGACTAAAAGAGGAATTCTCAGTGTGCCGGGAGGCACGGAATGCGAAGGGCTGGAACAGGAGCATGGTGACCTCACGGAACTGTGTGATAGCAGCAGTCTCTGTTGACATTTGTGACGTTGGGCCTGCAGAGCTGTGGCCAACACGTGGATGAAAACTGTCCTGCAGTCAAAGGAGATCCAGGAGGCCATGGACCCCTTGACAGGCAGCCAGGCACATCCCCCTGCCTCCCATTCTTTGCTGGTCCCCCAAGTCTCCACCAAATATGCAGCCACCTCCACCCCTAGGTATAAGGCAGCTCAGAGTGGGTACAAGGAGTGGGGGGCTGAAGGGTGGTGGTCGTGGGCTATGGGGAGCACTGGGGGTGGGGGGGGGGAGCAGCAGGATCCCTGCAGGTCATCTGGAGGCTCTGGGGAACGGGGACACTGGAAGCTAGAGGGTCTGTGTGAGGGCTTGAGGGGACAGGGAAAAGCAGAGAGTAGGGAGGTAATGGGGGTGATGGAGGGTTGGTGGTGGTGGTAGGAGACAGCGGGGTCGACGGAGGGGTTGGAAGGGTCTCACAGTTGGGCGAGGTGCTGTGCTTCCTTGCCGTGACTGGGGGTCACTGCCCCACGATGTGTCAGCTCCCCTGGCACAGAGTTGCCCAGGATCAGCTCTTCCCAAAGCGGCTACAGCCTGAAGCGATCCTTCGCCTGCACCAACTTGCTGCTGCTCAGCCTGGCCAGCCCCGATGGCTCTGTGGGCAGCGAGGCATCCCTTGTCCCCCGCATACACGTGTCTTGCTCCAAGGATAAATCCAAGCCCACCGCCTCCACGGTGAGTGACTTCTAGGGATACCCCGCATCCCTGGGAGCTCCCCGGTACCCCAGCACACAAATGAAGACTGAGGACATTCTCACACCACTAGGGATGCCTGATACCCCCAGGGAAACACTGGCACTCCCCACCTGTAGTGAAAGATCCCCCAGAAATGCAAGGCATTCACAGTACCTCCTGAGTTCCACGGGCATCACAGCTCCAGCACCCCTAGGGGACCTGACAGTTCTCCCCCTGATCACCCATGTCCCATGGAGGTGAGGCTTCGGTGGCTGTTCTAGGGCACAGACTTGGTCCCAGGTCTCAAGGACTGCTGTCCTGTGTCAACCAGCACATGTAGAGCTGGTATGTGGGGCCCTGGGGTTGCCATAGGAAGGGAACAGATACCTCTCCCCAGAACAGAGAGGGGCTCGCCTGTCACAACCCCACCAAAAAAGACAAAACAAGACAAAGAGCGTGTCATGGGATGGTTACAGCAGGAGAACTAATTATTACTGCAGGAGAATTGATCATCACCACGACTGTCCCACGGAAGAAGGCAGCGTGTGCCACACAGTGAGCAGGACCAGGAGCCCACGGCAGGACATCGCAGTGCTAAAAGCACATTGCTTCCGTGCAATGAATATTCCTCTGTACAAAAGTGTGATTCTTCCTTGGGGCTTTATCTGCACCTCTCTGAAAAGTCCTTCTGAGTCTTATTTACATCACCCCCATTTAGCACAAGAGGCTTTATCTTGACATTGAGATAAAAACTATTTGGGGTTTGCACAAGACCATTATCTTCAATGTCCTCTTCGTTGCACATAGGACCCTGTATGCATGTGTGCACAAGAGTACATCTACTACATCACTGCACACCCACACACAAATGGATTTTTAGTCAAGAGTTGTGCATTCTTTGCACCTTTGTTGCACAAAGCTTTGCTACAACAGCTTAAGGACACGTGGAGGATCTCCTCGTAAATAGGTATTGCATCGCGCGCTCTGAGCCGTGGCTTTCCTTCAGAGCTCAATCAGGACCTTCTTGTTCCTTATGCTGTGCTTGAGGTGCCAGGACAGGGTGGAAAAAGGCCATGTGGTGGTCTGGAGTTAGGGTAAGTTGGAAGGTAAGGCTGGAGGGAAATGCTCATTAACAGCTTGCTGGTTTGGGAGACAAAGGCTGGCACATGCTCTGTTGGTTGGCCGCCACAGCCCTTCCTCCC